CATTCTAGAACAGGGGTGTCAAACTCAAAAGCTAACTTGGCCCAAATAAACAATGCTTAACTTTAGATGGGCCGCAAAAAAAATCAATATTCATAGAAACAAATATTTTTATTTTGACTAGTACATTGTAATAAACATATATAAAGTTAAATTATTGTTTACGTCCTGATACNAATGGGTTGTGAATCTCTCTGTGATAAAATTGTACAGTAAATTCTCCCTAATTTTCCTTCAGCTTGTAAACATAAATGGACAATTTGGGAAGAGGAGATACGATTATTCGAGCCCTGCACCTCGTTTTTATATTATAACTGTTGATAATTGACAACTATAAAAATGAGCATAATGACCTTTACGCGTCCACTTACGAGAAAACTATTTATTTCACACTATGACCCCTTTAGGATCATTCTAGAACAGGGGTGTCAAACTCAAAAGCTAACTTGGCCCAAATAAACAATGCTTAACTTTAGATGGGCCGCAAAAAAAATCAATATTCATAGAAACAAATATTTTTATTTTGACTAGTACATTGTAATAAACATATATAAAGTTAAATTATTGTTTACGTCCTGATACTTGACATCAAAAATGTTCATCTCGGGCCGCGAGTTTGACATCCCTGTCCTAGAATGATCTTAAATGAATAGAATGAATAGAATGCGGCTGAAGCGAACGCTGCATGTCGCCGCATTCATGATTAAAAAATCAAATGAAATTGAAACATATTCAGTTCGGTATAACTGAAAAAGTAGCGTATATGTAAAAGCGAAATTTGGTGTAATTCAAGGATATCAGTACACGGTAGGTAGCATATAGCATGTAGCCGACATCTGTCGCTCAATATATAATTTGAAAAAATTAACACAATTACAAACGACGATTTTATCTAAAAACGATTTCGAAATGGGTCGCTTCAGAACTCTTGACTCGCCACCAAAATGAACAAGTGTTAAACAAAATGATGCGAAATCATAGCCAACATTCCCAACGAACCATATGCGAATTAACTTTTCATTTTAGAAATATTTTATTCAAGTGACATTTTACCGCGTTTGGTATGCAATGGCCCCGCTGTGCGCCGGCGGCAGCCTTCCGTCGCGGCACTACCAAATCCGTCATGCGATGCCCGTTAAATCGCCGAGAAAAACGTGTTATTAAATAGATCAGGCCACGGTGGCGGCGGCGGCGATCCGACAGAAATCCTATTAAATCTGTTCTGACATGACGCTGTCAGTTACCCGACGACTTCGGAAAATAATCGAGGAAACGATCGCCTCGGCTCGCAACAACGCAATGGCGCGCCGCGCCGCGCCGGTTAGCGGGTTAATAAAAGGCGCAGGACACGAAGGGGATACTTTTCCGGAACGTCGATCCTAGATCCCCGCTGCCAGGAAGGACTTCTGTCGTTCCACGTATAGATGCATATATGTACACCGAGAGGCATTCATAGCGCGTACGGCCGGATCGGGGTGCGAACGAGAGCGAGACACAGCGACCGACGAAGACGGTGCGAGAAAGAGATAGCCGAGAGAAAGGAGCAAGTTCTATCTTCTCGCGGCACAGTTCAACTGCGAAGGTCGGTCAATGGCCAACGCCGGCTAACAGCCGCTGTAGCTGGACGAGGCAAAGAAAGATCGAAAGATCGGGGGATGGAGGAGGAGAGACGGAGCGGCGAACGAGAGGGAACGGCCGACGTAACTCGCATGGTACCAGAATATCATTACGTTCAATTGCTATACGACGACATCCACCGACCAGATGGTACATGTCAATGCACGTGCGTCCGCTGAAAAAAATGCTTGACACTGGCTGCCAGCCCGATCCACTGTAACAAGATTATTCGAGCCCGGCGTCAACAACACCGGCCACCGTGGATTCCTCGCCGCGCCGCGAGGAACGCGGAAATTTTCATCGTCGCCGGCAAAACATTACCGGACGACGATCTCCACGCGATAGAGATTGCTATGACGGCGAGCGCGAACCGGTGGATCCGCGCGATCAAAAAGAAAAAGAGACCGCGGTGATCGGGTACTTTTCTAAGGGGCGTTTCTATTGAGATCTCGCGGCCTGTCTTCACGATGAGAGGACACTCATTGCTACTTAACCGTAATAGCGAATCGAAGCGAATCGAGCTTCAGGAATTCGAACGAACTTATTAGATCATTCCGGGAGATTCGCCGGTTGTAGTGTTGGTTTTCCAGTTTTATAGAATATAAGAAGACGCGAAACGGTGCGAGCGAGATGCGCGAGTGCGATCGACCATCGGATTGTAGGCTGGAGGAGCCAATTACTGCGCCCTGTTAGCAGCATTCAGGTGTTTTCGCTACGAAACGCAGCTTTAGCGGTTCAAATGACAATTTCTTAGGGACTCGATGGTAAATTCCGAAGTTTCTTTTGTTATTACTAACGAGTAATTTCACTTTATTTCTTGAACATTCTCTTCACCTTCCGCTGACCCGCGGAAATCTGTGATAAGATTGAATCTCAAACTTGATGTTACACAAACAAAAATTTTCCAAACATAATAATACGATTGTTCGAGCTTTGCGGCTCATTTTTATAGTTACCGATTATCGACAACTACGAAAACGAGATCGATAATCGTATCTCCTCTTCCCAAATTGTCCATTTTTGTGCGCAATCTGAGCGTGAATTAGGGAGAGATTACTGTAACCTATCGTAACACTGTTTATTACTAATTTTCAAATTATTCGCGGCGTGCATTTAACAAGACAGCTAATTTCATTGTAAAACTAATATATGAAATTGCTCCGATTGATTACAAGACAAAAAGTAGAGAAGATAACATGAAGTTATTATTTCATACGTAGCCTTTTCTCAATAATTCAATGAACTTGTTTCGTATTGAAATAGTTAAACCTTAATTAGAAAACCCAAATCTATGTATAGTTAATGCTCACATCAGGGTGTTGTTCGCGATTAGAAGAGGAGATTCGTTACAACATTGTGAGTACTACATATTTCCCACAATCGTATTACTTTCCCATTAAAAGGCACTAATTATGAGCTATATTGATCCCACGAAGAACAGTCCACTTTAATTCCACGAATTGAAAATCGTTTTTACGTAATACCAACGCAGTTCTCACTAAATTGTGGATTCCGAAGTAGGTCAAGTTAATTCGTCGTCGTTCTATTCCAACGAATCGATTAAATATTGTCAGAATAAAAAGCAATTTGTGGAAACTTCGCAACGATTCCACCAAACTATATAATGGCTGTTATCTAACGTAATAATTTCCAGGTTCAGCGAATCAGCACAGATTGGAGCATAATTCCTGGAAACAATCGTGTTCGTGCATTTCCACAAACAGTTGTCGTTAACCCTTATTTCGAACATGATATCACAGATAAGCAGAAGTTTAATGTTTGCTCATTCAGTAGAACGCATGGATTAAGGTATTATTATTATTATTATTTGTTCAATCAATGAGTCCATTAATATTCACGATTTCAAGCTGAATGTAATAAATTACAGTATGCCTCTTTTTAAATCACATCTGTTCTTTGTCATCAGTGGACTCCGGATCTATATTCATTTATGACTTGTGCAGAGTTTTAAAATGCAAGAAAACATACAAATTAACAAGATATAATAGCATTTTTATTTTCTTTATATTATATAAAGAATGATCTTTTAGTAGACAGAGGAAACTTTTCTTTAATTTTAATCTTTGTGAATTTATGAGAATTTGTGCACCCAGATCCGCAATTTAATTATCAGTATTTAACATTTTTAATTATATTGGGTTGTCCGAAAAAGTAATTTCGTATTTTACCAATCAACTTGACCAGTCTTTTAACCAACCAATTTCATTCTAAACCATATTGTCATTATTAAACTACGGAATTTATGCATTTATAGCAAAACCGAGTAGTAAAATATAAAATTGTGAAGACATAAGAATTTAATAATATTGTTAATTTATTTTGCATAAAGATCCGCAGTCTAGTAATTATATATATTTACAGCTATTTTAAGGATTATTTGTAAAAGAATTTGTTTCATTCTGTGCAATTATTTTTCTTAGATGTCCCATCAGATGTACCAAATCAAGAGCAAAATTTTCGGCATATTTTGCTTCTTTATTACCGAAAATGTAAGACTGCTGTTCAAGCAAGAAAACAATTCTGTGACGTGTATGGACAAAATGTGTTGACAAAACGCCAGTCTCAAAATGTAATCCAGTTTAAAAGTAATTTAGTTCCTTCAACGAAAAATAGAAGGCGACTAATAAATTTAATATTTAGTTGTTATCTATAAATTTTATTCAGTAGAGCAAGTGTATTAATTTCTGTGCCCATTAAACTGACATCCGAAATTTTCGAATTTTTCTTTTACCTGTATCGTGCTCCTTAAAACATTTCAATTATACGTGAATGTCTTTTACATGAGTACGATTTTTTTCATAAGTGAAGTATATAAACAATTCGAAATATTTAACAAAATATACCAAACAGTTTTTGAGAGTAACCGTTAATATTCAAGGTTTAATAATAGGTAATGTCACATCGAGAAATCAAATTATAATAAATCGTATTATTCCTTTGTTTATAATAAACGTAGACCACCATTACTTCCTCTATTAAATTAATAACGACGAAGCATAATTTCCATACTTCTCGCGATGTTCGTATTTCGTCTCATCGCAACGTGATGAATAACTCTGTAATGAGCATGTACGAGCCCACTGAAATTTATTTATGTTAAACAATCACCGACACGCCGCCTAATGCGATGGCCATTAATACAGATTAGTTTATTATAGGCCTCGAGGCACCTGCTTCGATTTTATTTTCGATCGCGCATCAACAACGTGGATAGTTCTATTAATTTCGCTGGATGTGCATGTAGCAAAATGTATTAATATCGTTACCCTTATGAAACCATCGCGAGTTCTTTGCGCGGAAATTGCAACAAACGATGCGCCGGGCATTAATCAATGATTTTTTGCTAGTTATCGAGTTGTACTCACTCAGGCGGTACTGGTTCCCGAGTTCCGCGTTCAAATAAATTTTCCTGAATGCCTTCTTTTTCCTCACTTTCTTCTTCTTACACCGTGTTAACATTCCTTCGTAGTGTCTGGAAACGGAAGATCCATATATTGTTGTTTATTAACTGTGACACGTTATTTACGATCGCACGCCCATCGACCGGGGCTAAAGTCTTATTCGAAATCGTAATAAAAAGCAGACGGTGCTGCCTGCAAGAACTATTTGATCGATCGAAGTAATACGATCACAGCAATCATTATTCATGTATCAGCTGCTGGAAATACTCAATGTTTCCGAGTGAGATGTTATAGTAGAGACAAGTCCGCCGAAAAAAAAACGGAAGACTTGATATCGATGAAGTGTGCGGTCGAAATTCAGAATCTTCTTTATACTATCAATTTTTGTTCGTATTAATTTAATTCATTTTAATTATCCTTATTTGAAGTTCTAATGAAAATTATGATGTCACGTTCAATATTACATCGACAGGAGGTAAACATGATTTTTAAGGTGTCAGGAAATATCGAGTTGTTCTGAAAGTAAGATAAATGAAATTTATTTAAATTATTCTTATGTAATGTTTTTTTATTAAAATTATGATTTTATGTTCAATATTGCATCGACAGGAGGAAAACGTGACTTTTAAGGTGTTAGGAAATATTGGATTGTATCGGTAAACTGTAATCTTGTTATACAAATTTTCTAAAATCCATTCAGAATTATTATTATCTACCATAATACCGAACAATACATATAATACCAACAACCACACTTGCTTTGATTACTTAAGCTATTGATTAATGGACTGCGGATTTTGTGCATTTATGATCAAAAATGACTAGATAAAACACCAAAGTGTAAACACGTTAAATAATTTTATGGACATTGTTATTTTCTCTCTTGAATTTATTAAAATTTATAAAAGAAGGAATAGGTTTTTATTTAATTTTTATTCCTGATAATTGAGCTGGAACACTTTTATTTGGCTTAAAGATCTGCAATCTAATTGTAACTAGAACTTCGTGTAAATTTCGCTTATATTACAGTTGACTTTCATTGAAATCAAAAGAAATGTATCGACACTTCTTAATTCTTTCAATGCTTCTGTTTTAAACTGCAGCTATGCATTTTTCTCATGCATGCGCAAAATATATAAAAACGTTGTAGATTGCTCCTTCATGTTTTGGAACATGTTATTGGATTGCTCGGAAAGTAATTTCGTCTTTTTAACAAAATTACGTTTTGTAAAAGCATTAACACCTTTAAAATTATGTTTATCTCCTATCGATGTAATATTGAGCATAAAATCATAATTTCAATAAGAACATTAAATAAGAATAATTTAGATACATTTAATTTACCTTACTTTCCGAACAACCCAATATTTCCTATCACGTTAAAAATCTCGTTTACCTCCCGTCGCTGCAATATCGGACGTCGCATTATAATTTTGTAATCAATGATTATAGATTACCAAATGTAATCACGATTACTGATTTATTCTGATAACGATTAATTGATTAATGATTATGAATAGCCTCGATTACTGTTAATAAACAATTACAAAAGAAATCGCAAAATAATCGATTACTGCCCAGCACTGTTAAACTAGTCGAGAAAAATGTTGACAGAAAGAACGAAAGAAGTTTATTTTGGAAGTGGTCGACGAACTCGACCGTACGTGTTATAAAGTATCAATATTGTGTTCGAATGAAACAAAATTAAATATTATTTATTTATGTCACGATATGTTCGCGAAACATTGACTTTCGCTTCGCTTTGGGAACGGGTCGTCGATGTCGTACTGCAAATTGCCGATAATTAGCAAACAGATAGCTTGCACGGACGTGTACGGAGTCAGACGAAAACATGCTTTATTAGCTAAGCCTAGTTTGTGCGCAATATTTTATTTACAATCGACTTTGAATCGCGTTGATCGGTAAATTGCTCCAATTGCGATAACAAATTTATAGTAATGTGATAAGGAAACTGATCATTTGATCTGGCCAATTCGGCTTGTAATTATTATTTTAACATTGTTCGCGTTCGTTCCTTGATTGTGTTCGTCGACTGATTTTGTTAATGTAATATGAAAATTAAAATATGTTCGTTCGATTGATCCACGAAGAATCTTGGCTTTCTTTCTAAAAATGTATGGGAGACTGTTTGAAATTTTGTAGAATTTAGGTTGATACGTAGTTGAGTGAAAAGATTATAATTAAGTGATTACACTATGGTGCTGGGATTTTTCGTTTTTACATTATTATTGCAAGAAACGATGAAATTAATGTATAAGAAATTTTAGCTACAAGATAGTATAAACTATTTGTCTGGGTTCTCACGATTAAAATGGAAGACAAATTGAAATGAAACACCCTGTATATACCATTGTCTCCGTTAGTGCTGAAAAATTCATCGCTCCGGATAAGCAATGTCCGAATATTAAAGCTACTCACTGTATATGCGATACGAAATCGATTACGAATACGAGAACCATGAATTCATGAGACGTTAGGTCTGTCCATTACATAACGCTGTCGGTAATCTCGTTTCGATCCTCTAAACACTAGATTTACGAAGCACTAAAATCAATTGTTTTATATTAGTTCATAAAAGTAACGATAAGACATTCATTCTGATTTTTAATTAGTGTTATTGCAACTGGTGAATAGACCGCGGATTTTATGCATTTATGACAAAAATAAGTAGATGAAACACAGAACACTGCCCCTATTACAACAATTTTATAATTCGATTATACTATTTGTAACTTGTGAAAATTATTCGAAACGTAAAAAGGTTCCCGATTGTTGCAACGGATGTACAGAATTTTTATTTAAATATCCGCAGTCTACTGATAAATGTATCTTTACAATCTGAATAATGGTAAATTAAAAAATTTAATAAAAGAAAACCCGTCGTTTTGACGGGTCCCGTAAACCCAGCGTCAGATCGGAGCTGTTCCAATTGCTGTTCGTGCCACGTTCGATTGTGAAGCAAAAAGTAAACGGCGTTAATAGATTCGTCAGACGATCCGTCGGAAATCGTATCCACGATTTCACGCAAATTACGGAGGTAACGACTTAGAGAGCTCGTTCGAAGCGAAGTCGCTGGAACGGTCGGACAGGTTCGAAACAGACAAGCGAAACGGTATTCGTGGTCTCACCTGTCGGCTTTGAATCGTCGTCGGCGCGAAAATATGATAAAGAATGTGTCGCAAGTGATGACATGGGTGTACCACCGTCTGTCCACCGGCAGAAAAAAAAAAGAAAGGAAGCTGACTGGCAAGCGCGCACTTTGCCAGCGTGGCCAGGGTGACGAGAAACGGATCGCTTCGGACAAGATCCTAACAAGGTCGTATCGAGACCTCCGATTTCAAGTGCGACAAAAAGTTGCTGACATCTGGCGCGGATTATAAATAGTGAGCTCCGTTAATCGTCGATCGCGAGCCATCGGAAGCTGATGTGGGACCTACAGTTGGACATTATTCGAATTGTATCATTTTCGAATCGTTTAATAGTTTATTCGAATAACAATTATTCGTTATTCATCGCGTGAAGAGACTGTGGATTTTATGCATTTATGAATGAAATGGGCATGTGAAACATAAAATAGGGAGCCGATTAGATGAAACTAAGAATGTTAATGTATCGGTTACAACTTATTAGAATTGTTTAAGATAGTATTAACTTTCCATTTTCCTTTCTTTTTTATTTGAAAAAATTTCCACTTGGCTCTTACGTCTTGCAATCGATACAGACAATTTTTATGTTGCATAAAGATTCGCAGTCTAGATATAATTATCTATCTATTTGTTCGAATAAATTATGTGCACAATTCTCGAATAAATTGTTCGATCAGAGATTGTAAAATTATTCGAATAATAACGCAAATAATTGCTGACTGTTTTTCTTGTTACGTAATAAGAATATTTTTTTACGAATATGTACGTTCAGAATCAGTCCAATTTTTTTCACGTACTTATATAATTATAAAATTGCTGATACTTTCCTCTGCATCCATAGAAAGATTATTTAGTTTTATGCATCAATCATCGATCTACACAAAAGTAACAAACTTTCCAACGTAACAATTCAGAGAGGTAATATGAAATAANTCGTTCGAAGCGAAGTCGCTGGAACGGTCGGACAGGTTCGAAACAGACAAGCGAAACGGTATTCGTGGTCTCACCTGTCGGCTTTGAATCGTCGTCGGCGCGAAAATATGATAAAGAATGTGTCGCAAGTGATGACATGGGTGTACCACCGTCTGTCCACCGGCAGAAAAAAAAAAGAAAGGAAGCTGACTGGCAAGCGCGCACTTTGCCAGCGTGGCCAGGGTGACGAGAAACGGATCGCTTCGGACAAGATCCTAACAAGGTCGTATCGAGACCTCCGATTTCAAGTGCGACAAAAAGTTGCTGACATCTGGCGCGGATTATAAATAGTGAGCTCCGTTAATCGTCGATCGCGAGCCATCGGAAGCTGATGTGGGACCTACAGTTGGACATTATTCGAATTGTATCATTTTCGAATCGTTTAATAGTTTATTCGAATAACAATTATTCGTTATTCATCGCGTGAAGAGACTGTGGATTTTATGCATTTATGAATGAAATGGGCATGTGAAACATAAAATAGGGAGCCGATTAGATGAAACTAAGAATGTTAATGTATCGGTTACAACTTATTAGAATTGTTTAAGATAGTATTAACTTTCCATTTTCCTTTCTTTTTTATTTGAAAAAATTTCCACTTGGCTCTTACGTCTTGCAATCGATACAGACAATTTTTATGTTGCATAAAGATTCGCAGTCTAGATATAATTATCTATCTATTTGTTCGAATAAATTATGTGCACAATTCTCGAATAAATTGTTCGATCAGAGATTGTAAAATTATTCGAATAATAACGCAAATAATTGCTGACTGTTTTTCTTGTTACGTAATAAGAATATTTTTTTACGAATATGTACGTTCAGAATCAGTCCAATTTTTTTCACGTACTTATATAATTATAAAATTGCTGATACTTTCCTCTGCATCCATAGAAAGATTATTTAGTTTTATGCATCAATCATCGATCTACACAAAAGTAACAAACTTTCCAACGTAACAATTCAGAGAGGTAATATGAAATAAATAAATCGATAAACTATGAAAGAAACACTTTATATTCTATCATTTTTATTCATATACCTTCCGTATGAATTCGAATGAAATCTCATTGAATGAGATTTAGAATCATAGAATCTCATAAATTCTTATTCGAATAAAATCTCATTCGGTCAAATTTTTCTCTAGATACATTTTTATTCGATGGGATATTTATTCGATAGTGACGAATAAAATTTTATTCGTTATCTCTTATCCGTCATCGAAATAAAATGTCACCTAACACTAGTACGACCACGATTTACATTTATGCATCTCGCATTTCGTTATAAAACGGGCCGTTTATTCGCAATAATTTATTACACGTCCGTTCGCGACGTGTGTCAATCGAAGACTGCCGTGGAATGCAATGACTCTGCCCTGTCTACATTTTCTTGCTGTGATTTTAGTTTGATGGAGGGTTGTCCTACAGTTTCTTGTTCTACTGATTTTACTTTAGTATGCTTTTAGATGTCACCGGTATAATATTTATAGCTTTCGATCGTATTTGAATACGTGGAGAAACGAAAGTGTTAATAATAATTCGTATTCAAATACGAATAAAAAAGTGTTTCAAATTACAATCATTGTTTGTCGTTTTTTAAAGAACGTTTATTGATTAACGAAGTTTTCTTTCAGGAAGACGAACGTTGTTTACAATTCTAGGATGACAGATTAGTCATAAGTATGGATTTATGGCAAAAAATGGATCAGTGAAATACGAAACAGTGACATCAGAAGAATTTAACAATGTTGTTACGTTATTTTCATTTTTTTTAAATTATTCAAAGAACAAATACGTTTTTACTTAGCTTTTATTTCTTAAAATTGATACAGACAAATTTTATTTTGCACGAAGATCCGCAGTTTAGCAGAGCTGGGGAAGCTAGATTTTTGGAGTTTAGAAGCTAGATTTTTAAATTTTGGAATTACTGTATAGGTGCGATGAATTCAAAGAAAATTGCCTACCAGAAGTAGCAACGGTTGATTATTTGCAAGCCTTGCGAACAGGATTTTGAAGACCGTCGATATTAATTTCGACGATGCACGCCTATTCATCAAGGGTACCAGAAAAAGATGTATGCTCGTTTTTCGCGCGGCATAGAAGTTGATGAGTGTGAAACGGGACACTAAGTAAGCATATTCTCGTTTTATTCGCGGGTATCGGGCTAATAAAACCTTTCTAGAACGTTTTGCTTAGCGATGATTCGAGTGAATACTCCTTTCATTGATGGGTGAATGCTGTGATTGTCGGCAATACGATTTTTAGCTCGACCACTTGTTATTTTTCTGTTTAGACTGGGAACGATTTCGCAGTTGTTTGTTAAAACATCCGTTTCATTTTCTAAACATCTCTGTTGCAGGCATGACACTGTTGCTGTTGTCTTTGCTTGCTTACTGAGTTGTCGAAAGTTACAGTTCGGGACGAAAAGATGGCTCACTTTAAAATTAACGTAATTTTTATTTGCTTAACATAATAACCAAGGTTTTGTTTTTATACAAACTTGCAAAATACCAGTAGAAATATACACGAATGAAACAGTATTGAATTTCGTTAGCCTGAACAATTTTAGTTGAAGAAGAAGATCAGTTTTAAGGAAATATTGTAAGACAAAATGATAGCACGTTTAACTAAAAATTATGTACAGTAATAAATCAACGAATGATATTTCATGCTGAATATTTTGTGACTTCCCTTTTACATTTATCATCGAACATTTTTATAAAATGTTTTTTATATCGAACATTTTTCGAAGCAAAATAAATTTTTCAAAATTGGACTAAGTGATTTGAATCTTTTTTAAAATATTAGAATTTTATTAGACGATGTCTGAAAAATGATTTTCAAAAGTTGCAATCGGTTGGAGTAACAAAAGAAATGCGCGTATTTTAATTTCTTAATCTGATTTTCATTAAAATCGGTTGACATTTTTATGATATAAACAATTTTGCGATAACTGCAGTTTTTCATGATTCTTGACCATTTTTAGTCGAACATTATTTAATAAACTAGCCTCTCAAGAAAATTCATGTCGTTTGGTCCAATTTTTAACAAGTTATTCCATTTTCAAAATATGTGAAGTCCATTACTTCACAGACTTAAAGAATCGTCAAGCTATGAAAAATTTATTAAATTATTTATCTTTGAACCCTGCAATATCATGTAAGAAAATTTTGAAATATTTTACCTATGCTCATCGTAAAATGTGAATTCCCTACTTTCATGTTCTTGACTTTCCCTTAATTCTCTTTATTTTAAAACGAAGTGGGAAATTGAGGTTACTTTCCATCATTCGTTTTACAAATTCGAACAATTTCTACGAAGTTTTACTGTTCAACTTGCCTTTATTATTAATTAAAGAAATTTCCATATTTCTTATACGTATGAATCTAGTGAAAAATGGTTGGCCTAATCGAATGATTAGAAGACAACAGAAGTCACTTTGGAATTTCCCTTTTGGTTTTAACCCTTTTCACTCGAAGCCATTCTAACTATAAATCTAAAATAATTTTTCTATATAGAATAATTTATTATATAGAATTATTTATATGACAAAGCGCATTTTATTATATTATTTATATAATATAAGCATATTTTATTATATTATTTATTTTAAATCTAAACTTTGATAATATAAAAATTATCTTAGAACGTGGTATAAGAATTTTTCAATAATAAATATCTCAGAGTCACCACTCGAGGTTAAAAGGGTTAATAGTACGAAGATGGTATATTGACACTTTTCTATTCTTTTAAACTTTCTAATGTTTCCAATCGCAGTTGCCCATTTTTACCATAGTATATTAATGATAGATAATATTGATTTATTAGTATTACATAGTATTTGTCAGATAGATCGAAGCAAAAAGTGAATGAATTCAGATTGATTGTCAAGAGCCAATGAATTCAGATAAATTGAAGTCAAGAGTGAATAAACTCAGATTGATTGAAGCCAAGAGTGAATGAATTCAGACTGATTGAAGGCAAGAATGGGTAAATTCAGATTGATTGAAGTCACTAGAAAAACTCCTATTTAACATGGCCGACGATGGTCATAAAATTCGAATAATCGTTAAATTACCGAAATTCGCATTTGATCCATAATTTTGAGTATTTTTCAATGTGGTTCTTGGTTTAAGTATCTGAACTCCGATATGTGATCGATCGTTACAATAAAGGTTAGACAAAATCATCGAGTTATTATTAGCAACGACGTGGAGTGAATTTCTGATACGTTAGAAGCAGCGATCGCTGTCGTAAAAAAATGTTGAAAAATGATACATGCGGTTCGAACTATCGGTCAAGTCATGATAAACGATATTCTCCGGACAATAACGTGAATTTCATATCGGTGAGACACTTGCGCATAAGAAAGATGTTCATATATAGAAGTCGACATTTAAAACGTTAATAATATAATTACATATATAATAACATATACAATTACATTTATAATAACTGTTCAAATTAAAATCCTATTACTCCTATCATGAATGATTAACTTTTTCCAGGACAATTGCCATGTGAGAAAAACTAATTAAACTGCTTCCATATCGTTTAATAAATACATCTATTAAACCTATCAGCCAATTAAAACCGATTGATCGCAATCATTTAATTGGATATACGATCGTACGTGGGTAACTCTACATACGTAGACATAACAAGGGCCATCGCTCATTTCATGCACACAGATAATAATGATAATTGACACGCTGGAACAATAAATGAAATAAAATAATAAGTACTAAAACTGACAAATACTAATTGCCTTTTTATGAATGAAATGACATATAAGCGTCATTACTTCATATTTTTTCAAATTTTACGCAAGTGGAAGACAAATATTTAAGTGCAGCTAGCGTATTATTTAGGATAGAGATAAATTTTGTAGACGTAGTTTGTAATAATATCTTTACTTGCAAGAATCGTTTATTAAACACAATAAAATTCTGGAAAATATTTTCATGAATACTATAAAAATTGAAGAAATCCATTTTTAATAGAGAAATAAATTTTATAGATATAATTTGCAATAATATCTTTGCTTGCAAGAAGTGTTTATGAAACACTATAAAATTCTAGAGAATTTATATAATTTGACCAATAATCAAATAACGATATTTACGTTCTATCAAAATTTTACCCCGTCGTACGAGTGATAAATGTTCAACAAAATGATTTCTTCATCGATATTCGTATCGAAGCTAGCATTTCCGAAAAAATGTTTTCATTTCCATTTACACAGCGACCACGCATCCGAGCTATTTCTCTAATTAATTATCCGTCACGAGATGTCTACGCGAAGAGATACGAAGTGATCCGGTAAGGGGGGTCCGAGGATTTACACGAAAATAAAAAGGAAGGGTTGAAATATTCCGGCGCGAGGTAACAAAGACAGTTGCATGTAATTATGTCCAGCAATAAGACACTTCCGACGATGTAATCCCATTTCTCTTGATCCTATCCGTGAAAAAAATATCCCATCCATCATGGTACCTACGGGCCCCTCGTGTACGAAACCACTCGAAACTTTCACGCAGTGTGAACAGAGGCTGGAGATCAAGATTCTTGTCGAGATCTATCCCGCCGGACGAACGCATCGGAGTGTTCTTAAGTGGCTCTTGACCTCGCACTTCTATAACTTTACATTATATGCACGTCTAACCTCGTCCGTACGAGCCTTTATTAGTGATAACGTCATCCCTTACAATTCGATGCTTACAAAAACCGGATGCTAATCGGACACGCGTTTATCACGGTCCGCGAGTAAATCCGGCATACGTCGTGCAATGCGGAGAATGGAAAAGTTGATCGACCGACACGCTTCGATCGTTTTCTGGTTTTGTTCAATTGATAACAAAATCGCTCGCGTTTTTCAACACGAAAATTAACACTAACCGTACCATCGCCGATCAAATGACCGGTTCGACAATTCTTATTCTACAATTGAGCCGTTTATTTTGAAAGTGGCATAAGTCACTTTTTTTTCTTTTTTTTTAAATGAAAAGATACCGTTCAATTGTAATTAGTGTTACCATTAACTCGATTTTTTTGAAAAAGTGACTTATGCCACTTTCAAAATAAACGGCTCAATTATTGAAATTATAAAGATTTGTAAAGAATCTATTCGGTCCAGCATATATTAACATGAAAATTGAAGAAGATCTGGATAAATTCAAAACTCTAATTTATATAAGGCAATACAAACGAATCACTTTTAATGCCCGGTGCGGTTAATGTTAAGTACTGTTTTGTATATTTACTCGAGCAATGATGCACCATTTTGTCAGCTTTTTCCTCGTAAAAGATCATCAGACTCTAATCTTGTGTGAATCACATAAAAGTTTAATATTGTTGCTGGAAAAGTTTACATTTATAATTCTATTGATATAACTATATCGACCACAAAGGGTGCGGTGGGTGTCCTCTCTCAGATGATGATGAAGCTCTACTAGGCTATCAACGTACGTTCGATCATGAGAACATTCCAACACTTTTTAAAAGGAACAAACTTTCTTTAGAGTTGAATCAATTGATTTGAATTTTCTCGAGTTTTAAGAAGGACTAATAGTTTACTAGACAATGTGTAAAAACATTTTTGAGCTTATAAGGCTCTAAATAACATCTGAGTGTATAAGAAAATTTAAATAACGCGTCTTATGAACCTCAATAATTTATGTGAATGCTGAAAATTTTATCGAAATTGATTAACATTGTTTATGAGCTCTAAACAATTAAAGATTGCGCACGTAGCAGGTTTCCATTACTTTCGACCAAAAATTGTGGGAAATCTGGAGATTTTTACATCTTTCAACGCTTAGAAAAGCGATTTCAATTATATGTTCAACATGCGTGTCAGTTACAGAGATCTACAAAGTGCAATGTTTAAAGATTCATTATCCACTCAAAAAAAAGTTAAAAAATACGAGTTTTTATCATTTTTTGCCGTTTCAAACAATTTTAATTTTTGCAGGAATTGTTTTGGTGATTGTTTAGCAATTTCAGAAAAATTCAAGTCCTTTGCTCCAATGTTTTAAAATTTATTCCGAAAAAAAGTAACAGTATTGTTTAAAAAGTGACTGAATATTTTCGCAGCCAATTGTTTGCCATTTTGATTCGTCACGCAGTATTCTATATCAATAATTTGGTTGGTGTAGTTTATTAGGTTTAATATTTATTTTGAAAACACAGGAGGAATTCTTATCAATACATACTGTGTACTCGCGTGTACCATATTATTATTATTATTTTATTATATTATTTATCTAGTCTATATTATTATTTAATATTTAGTCTGTATTATTATTTAACGTTACAAGAACTATACGCAATGAGCATATAAGATCGGTGTGAAATATTCTGGTTCGAAAGTTGAGAATTTGGGTGATCAAACTATACCAATAACTTAATTTCAACCGGTAGACTTGAAAGAAACTAATCTAGGGTCAAAAGACTCGAATGAAACCAACGTAGAGCCGACAGCCTCAAATCATACCTAACCACGGCCGAGAGGCCCGAAACAGACTAATTCAAAACGGACAGACTTGAATAGAATTAACTGTGCAACGACAGGTTCTAACGAGACTAGCCTAAACCCGACAGATTCCAATTGGATTGTCAAAGTATCAGATATTTGTAACGAGGATGCTTCGGGTATCCTGATTTCTCTGCTACCATAATAACAGTAAATTCGTTTGTAAATTAATCAAATAAATATGACAAATTCGAAGAAGATGCGAAATAAACAAATTCAAAGAAAATTTAAAAGAAAGAAATTACAAGAAAGTGTAAAAAAGAAAAATTCAAAGCGAGTACTACGTAAGAAAAACACTACAGTTTTTCTCTTGAAAAATAAATAATAAATAAATATTAATTTAAATAATCTTTTTCAATCGATACCAACGAAGAAAGATATACTAATTCAAAACAAATCTTGCTACTACA